CGGGTGCCTCTGGTTCTGATGGTGGTAGCGTTGATAATGATGATGATGATGATGATGATGATGATGATGATGGTGATGATGATGATGATGATGATGATGGTTCTGAGAGCGTGGAGGAGACCGAGTCCAAGGAGGACTGATTTCTTGATATTTTGATCTTGTGAGCGTGAATTCGAGCAACTTCCTTTGGTCGTCAAAGTGAAGTACTTTTGTGCTTGAATCATTGCTTTTGTTGTTTGTTATTGTATTGTTATTTCAGATATTGGTTCTTGTACCATTTTGGAGTGTTTTTTACCCATGCACATTTTTATTTAAGTTTAAGTAATGTTAAGTTTATGTTTTAAAATATTTTGTTTCTCTTTTCAAGTGGTTGTTAATATTTTTTGGCGGTTGAGCTTTCTAAAACTTCTAGATTGGTTGCTCTTTAGAAAGAAGTATTCAATGAAGATGCATCCGAGTTTGGATGGCGATGATAATAATTAAATAAAGCGAATAATGTCAAGGTACATGGTTACCTTTGGTTATAATTTTAGAATGCATTAAGAACTTTAATCTTGTTGTGAATGAATATTGTTCTTTTGGCAACATTGTTGAATGAAGGTTTCACTTAGGACTTAGAACCACAAATTGTGAGGAAACCTCCATTGTACACTAAACGTTGGATTTTAATAAACTTTGTTGATTGATTTATTTCATGCTTTATCTTTTATTATTGTGAATGTGTGGAAGCAATTAGAAATGATCAAGGCACTTGTTTTTTATCGAGCACAATCAGTTCCAAATGCAACTTACCCGTGAGCAGAGAGTATTCGTGAACCCTTGAGTCTAAATAATGTGAATCTCGGCCTGAAATTGTGCGAGATCCCAAAAACTTTTTTCTTGAACCCTTGAATTTTGTGTTAATTGTTCTCTTTGCCTTAAAAAGTCAAGAGCATTCACTTGAGGGTTGAGTAAAAACTAAGTTGGGGAGAACGAAAAAGAAGTATGGTAGGTTGCTACAACTCTTGAAAAATCAAGCAAGCATTAAGAAAGAGAAAACAAAATAGAGAATGTTTGTTTGGAAAAGAAAAAAAAGAATAAGTTGTGAACTAAGAGTTGGGAAGATTTTCAAATGAGAAACAAGTGGAAGGAAGTTGCGATGTGTAAATAACTTGTACAGTGAATGCCACTTTTGCATCGGCAATTTCGTTTCAATGGCCTTAGATATGTCCCTTGTTTGTAAACTCGACCAAGCTACAACCGAAAAAAACCTTAGTGATCATCTTGCTTCCATATTTTCATCTATAATTGTTAGATATTGTATGAATTGGATGATTTTTGTATTGTTTGTTAGTTGAGTGAAATTGTCCCCGCGGTTGCAAACACGTAATTTCTTCAATCCTTATTCGAAGAGGAGAGATAGGGCGATTCATTCAAGATAACATTGTTTTTTATTGATATATGTTTTGCATTACTTTAAGACTTTAGTTCTTGTGTGTTGTTTGATTCTAACCATTGGAAACCTGTGTCTGGTTGCATTCCTTGTTTTTGAGCCATTTAATCCAATTTCGGAGAAATCTTTTTCTTGAGCAAATCCTCTTGCTTCGTCAAGAGGCATACTTTGCTTGAGGTCAAGCAAAAATCTAGTTTGGGAGAGTTGTTAGATGCCTAACTTTGCTTATTTGATCTATCAAATGTGGGCATCTTTCACTCCTTTTTGTAAAGAAAGTGTTAGAAATCACTCTTACTTTGGTTGGTTTGCAACATATTGTGAAAATATCTTGGTTCCTTTGATTTGTGTGTTATTGTGCAGGAATTAGGCATGAAAAAGTGAAACTTAAGACACAAGAAAGAGGACAAAGAAACCAAGTCAGCATGCAAACAACAGCAAGTTCGCTGGGCGAACTTGCTAGCGAAGCTGCCACCAACACTTCACAAAGTTCGCTAGACGAACTATGTAGCGAAGGCCAGGAATCCAAAACAGTAAGGAAGGGGCCATAAACTCGCTAGGCGAAGGAGACAGCGAAAAGCTCGCTAGGCGAAGAGGTATCGAACACTCCCAGACTTGAGACAGTAAGGAAAGGGCCATAAACTCGCTAGGCGAAGTTTGCAGCGAAGGCTTCGCTAGGAGAACGTTTCTTCGCACAGCGAACATTTGGATTTCTGTCTAGGGAGCTTTCACAGGACATAGGCACTTCAGGTGCCATTTTGGGTGTTCGCTAGGCGAACAATTTGTTCGCACTGCGAACGTGACAGCTCAGCAGCCACTTTTATAAATAGTCAGGAATAGCATCGGGTACACCTGTTACAATTTTGACTGCCCAATCTAATTTTTATGATTAATTGTGTAAAGCGTTTTAAAATGGGACCCAAAAATGCAAATGGGTTTGGTACATGCTTCTGAGGGTACGATTCGAGTACTGTTCCAAAAGTTGTTAAAAACCATAAGTGGGTTGAAGAGATTCTTTTTTCATCTCCAGCGGATATTTTTTCACTGTATTGTTTTTTTTCAGTAGATAGTACCTTAGGTTTCTCGTGCCAAGCTTTCAGAACAAAAGGGAATAAGACATTATCTGAAGACCGGCGTCGACCCAGTTGTAATGAGCTACTTTTTGTAAAAATATCTAATTTTTTGTACTTGCATTTGAGAGGGTTTTCAGACCTAGAAAACTCATTCCTCCATTTCTCATCATCTCTTAGCAATATTTCACAAAAAGAAGGTGGATTCCCATCCAATCTCGATTATTCGACTCAGATATTGATCAACCTTCTTCTGAAACTTGTTGCTCAAGCTATCATGGAAATGGTTGGCTAAATCCCTCTATTGTCAATGTTAGAAGTAGTTAGTTCAGATTTTATGTATTCCATTTGATCTTTTGTATGTGAACAAATATTGTGATCAATATATATGAAGTTATTTGTTACTCTTTGTACATTTATGGTTTGGATTGCTTTAGACATGAACTTTCCAAGTCTTGACCTAATATCTTCATCTATCAACTATACAAATTCTAGACATAGGTTTGAAAGTTGATATCTGCTTTGTATTGATCTTAATGCTTATTGTTTCGATTGTTACTTAGAGAGATCATTTAACGGTCGAAACAATAACATTCACGAAATCGCTTTAGAAATGAACGTTTTTGCGAGGATACGCGGTTATGTTGGTTAAAACTTCGTTCACATATTTGATCGGTTGAATACGTTTAGGACGGACTAGCGAACCCTAATCTTGACATGTTTTTATCAAACTTAGACCGAATTTTATTCAGCTTTAATTCTTGCAAACTTTAGTTACGAAAATTGAAACCATTCTAAAAACCCTCTTTCTTAAGACATTAAACTGTTGAACGGCAAGCATCTATATTCTCATCAATCCCTGTGGAGACGATAAAACACTACCCCAAAATACTTTCTAACAGCGTCTCCTCCTCTACCGGCTTCAGATCAAAGATGAATTGGAGAAAAAAGACGTTATTTCAAGACAACTTTTCCTTGTTTATTTATTGCGTTTTGATACTGTCGAATCTCATTTTCATCTTTTTTTAGCTTGTTAGATTGCTATGCAGGTTTGGAATTATGTTTTTAATTAGATTGGGTTGCCCTCCCTTTCTTTCATTGATCATGTCATAGTGGATCATTTATCAGTTTCTAATCTAACCTACAAGATAGAAGTTTATAATCTATACTTGATTAGCAGAAGATTATAATTCTTATTTGATTAGTTGTTGTCAAAGTCATCAGGTAGTTAAAAATGACACTTTGTTTAACGAGATTAGTTAAAAATGACACTTTATTTAACAGGGTATGAAGAAATCTCGCGATATTATTTTAGTTGTAAAGTTGCAGGTTAGTTTAAAATGACACTTTATTCAACGAGGGTGTGAAGAAATGTGAAGAAACCTCACATATTCTTTTAGTTGTAAAGTTGCAGGTTAGTTTAAAATGACACTTTATTCAACAAGGGTGTGAAGAAACCTCACATATTCTTTTAGTTGTAAGGTCGATGTCTTATGGCTGATTTGGAGAAAAATCTCTCAGATATTCTTTTAGTTTTTAAAGTCAATGTCTTATGATTGATTTGGGCTAGATGCATTCTTTTAGTTGTAAAATCAATGTCTTATGATTGATTTGGGTTAGATTCTTTCAGTTGTAAAGTCAATGTCTATTGATTTGGGCTAGATTTAAAGGCATAGTTTCTTTCTCTAAAGATTGGATAATAAATCCTATGTGTTGTATGAGATAGTTCTTATTATATTTGCATTGAGAATCCCTTGTGCTCTAGTTCAATACATCGTTGCTTAGAAGAAAGAAAAGAACTAGAGTTAAAGATTTGGATCTAAACTAGCTGACTAGTTCAAGTTCAAGAAACATTTAAAAAGTTTTCATAATTGTATTTAATTCAGTGACTAGCTTGAAAACGTCAAGACACTTTCATAAACTGAAACAAAGGTTGTTTACTCAGTTTTATTTTAAACGTCCAAATAACAAACCATCTTGCAAATGTTTTCTTGTCCAAACCTTATTTTGTTGCCTTTTTGCTCAAAAGAATGTATAGATTGTCTCTTCACTGCATAATTTAAATTTTACTCCAGTATTAATACTGTGGGTGATCAAAACATATTTAACTGTTCCAGTTGGATATAAAGAAACAGAGTGCAGGCATACATTATTATAACTAAAAACATCAACTAATTTAACTCGGATTGGATTTTGCATAAATAACTGTTCCAGTACTAAATCCCGCCAAAACTCATTATTTAGCAATACATAGAAGAAAACAGAAAGGATGGAATGAAAAGCAAAAATAAAATAAAAAGACTGGCACTATGATTTCCTAACAATCTGATTCTGAGATACAAGGGAGCTGTAGAGTCTGCAGGTAAACCCGTTGCTGTATTCTCCCAGAGAAACAACTCGTTTTCTGCCAAAAGATTAAAAATATAAATGAGAAACTTTGAACAGAGTTTCTGTGCAAGTAGAATTAAGTTGGGAAATTATGATCTACAAAAAGTTACCCTTCAAAGCTCATCTTTAGGTTGTTCTACTTCTTGCTGAGCAGGAGCTTTTGGCTGTTCTACTTCTTGCTGAGTAGCACCAGTTGTGTCCTTGTTCTTTTGAATGAACTCTATGATGTCTTCCTTTGTCCTACCACCGTCATATTGCGATATCTTTCCACTTGCTGACCTGAAGTACAAAGTTGGATAACCTTGGACCTCAAAGGTTTCACTTGGGATATCGTTGGCAGTTGCATCCTAGTAAGTGAGGTAAGACACAGAATAAAGTTTGTCAAAATAAAAAATATAAGTTAACGGGTTAATCATCAAAATCAATGGTAGTATGTTTCTAGCAAAATCATCAGACATAACTTACCAGTTTTGCAATAACAACACCAGCATCACTTTGGAATGAGACGGCAACTTCATCCAAGATTGGAGCCAATGCTTTGCAGTGACCACACCAAGGGGCATAAAATTCAAGCAAAACTGGAAAGTTTATTGTTATGTTAGTAACTATATCGATGAATGATCAAGGCAAATGATAAAATATATTTTGGTCAAGTGGTATTATAGTTTTGAAACATGGTGCGTTAATTGACCACTGAATACCACAATTTATCTGATAGTGTATGGAAGAAACCCAAAAAGAAAAAGACAAATGTATACCATTCTTCCCTGAGTTGAAAAATATTTCCTGAAGAGTTTCCCCAACTACCACTTTAACAGGTTCGTTGTTAGTCTCAGGGATAGGTTCAGACTTGACAAATGGAGCAACATTTCCGTCCTGAAAAAGAAATGTGATATAAGATTTAAATTCTCCAAGACAACCAACCACTATAAAATATTAAATTACTTAAAAAGAGATTATATACTTGTAGAATTAAAGGCAGCTAGTTAAAGCAGCAAATATAACAAGCTAATAAGGGAACTAAGCTCTACCTTGTATGCCTTCACCCAAGCTGAAAGGTGTTCTGGTTCCAAATTGGGCTTGAAAAATTTCTTGCCATCAGTTTGCTGAATAATAATTAGAGGTACTTGCTCTTCCTTAAGTCCAAAATACTGCAAAGAAAAGTCATTCAAAATGTCAAATATCACCATTGAGCAAAGAATAAATTCAACTATTTAAATATTAAATACTTCGATACAAACCTGGAAAGCACCTTGGCTGGACTCAACATCTCCAATAAGAAACCCAATTCCCTGTTGTTTGTATTGCTCAGCAATTTCACGGTATTTTGATTTAAATGCTTCAGTACTTCCGGAAGTAAAGTTGACAAACAACATTGCCTGTCAATTTAAAAAACATACTTTAGGTTTCTAGGATACAGGCAAAAAACAAAGGCTGAGCAAAATGTAGCAAAATGCAAACAAGGTTTATAAAATTTAATACATTGCAAATTGGTAAATTTGAGTCACATATACCAATGGAAGTTTGTTATTGAGGAAACAAAAATAATTTTAAGTATTATACCTTTGCATTGGGAGAGTTAAAGTATTTGACAACAAAAGGGTGATTCTTTGGTTCATTGTTAAAGATAGTCACAAGCGGAATACTGGATTCTTCAATGAATTTCTCTAGAGCTTCAACATTGAAATCCTACCAGCATGAAACAGTTTTAGAAAGCCAAATAAGTAAAATATCTAAAATGGTACAGTTAATCTGAATAAACCCATAATACCTTGGAGTCAACAAAGAGCTCATCAAATGGCTTAAATAACCTAACTACAGGGCCGGTCACGGATGAATCTCCCCTTGGGAGGTGTTTGGCATCCAAGGTGTGAGCAATGTCATAGTCAGCGCGCAACTTATCTGCTAATGCAAGGAAGTTATCAAACTCCTCCCCAGAGAATTTAGGGAAAACTCCAACCTGAAAAAATGGTAAAATTAAATTAAAGGCCAGTGTGTGTGACTAAAACAAAACCACAAATGTTTGATACTTACAATAACAATGCCATCTTCACCAACAAAAGCACGGGCTTCATCAGCAGATTTAAGTTCTGTTGATGCAGGTCCTTGTTGTTTCTTCACGTATTCAACAATACCATCAGCATCACGGGGACCTTTGTAGTCTTGAATGCTCTTTCCACCGTTCCTCAAAATCTTAATCGTTGGGAATCCCTTAACATCATATTGAGACGCAATATCCTTGTTCTTCTCTTCATTGGCATCAACTTTAGCCAAAACAATTGGAGTTTCAAGAGTGCTCAAGATAGAAGCAGCTTTTTCATACTGCAAAAATCAAACATTAAAAAAAACTCAGCATTTGCATCTGCATACTCATACAACTTGAACATAAAACAAACCCCAAAATAATTATAGAAAAAAAAAGAAGAAAACAAATCACCTCTGGAGCAAGCGACTTACAGTGACCACACCTAGAAAGATAAACAAAATCAAATCAAATTAATAACGATAAGCAAATGAAATGCAATAGTATATATACTATATCGTTAACAATTGATCGCTATAACACATTCCATCACCGAAAAATGAAAACACTAACAAAAATCATTCATATATAGACGCATGCAACAAAAAATATACAAAGTAAAATAATAGAATCACTCTAAACATGATCAGAATTAAGATCTACAAAAGAGCAAAAGCAAGTAAAACAGATCAGAACAAATAACGATGAATCGAATTGGAGGATCGAAATATACCAAGGAGCGTAAAACTCAACGACGATGAAATCGTGCTTGCTGACAGTGTCATGGAAATTGGTGTTATCCAAAGTGAGGACGAACTCCTTGGCCTCTGGCTCCTCAGCGGCGATCTGAGAAGGAAGCAACACAAGGAGAGAGAACAAAAAACCGAAGATCGGAACGATTTTAGCCATTGTAGAAAAGACGGTATGAAGTTTTAGGGATTTAGAAAATGCTGCGAATGAAGGGGGTTTATAGTGTTTGAGAGGTAGAAGGAGCACACAGAAAAACACTGTGGAAAGATATTTTGGCTTTTGTGCACTCATTTTTTGAACAAATGGCGAATCTCTAGGTTCCACGTTGGCAAAATGATTACGTGGCTTAATCCCATAGGATACGTTCGTGTCATACGAACGTTTTCAATTTCAATCTTAAGTATTTTTTTCCTTTTGGGTAAGTTTTCTTTGTCAAACTTTTAGAGTAAGTTTTTATCTATTTTGATTATTATTAAATGGCTAGTGATAAGCTTTTTTTTATAACTGATTTAAATAATACTAAGCTTATAAATTATTTGACCGAAAAATAATATTATAATGAATGCTTGTATTTTTTAATAAAAACCATTTATTTAAGAATTTAATTGGTGTGTAGTGAAAATGTAAAATAATTTTAATTTTATATTATTATTTAATAAAAATTTATTAATTTATTACATCATACAATTAATTTAAAAACTACAATATGATGTGGAGGAATAAAAGAGAGTGATTTATTAATTATTTTAGAGTAATTTTTTATCTATTTTGATTATTATTAAATGGCTAGTGATAAGTTTTTTTTAATTAATTTAAATAATACTAAGCTTATAAATTATTTGACCGAAAAATAATATTATAAGGAATATGAGTATTTTTTAAAGAATACAATTTATTTAATATTTTATTTTAATAAATATGTATGAACAATGTAAAAAAAATTATAATAAATTTTTTTATAATATTATCCAATAAAAATATGTCACTTTATTATGTCATATAAATAATTTAAAAATTCTGGATTGACATAGAAGAATACACTATCTTAATTATTATTGATTGACAATACAAAATTAATTTACACTATTAGTACATCATTAATTTTCTCTAAAAAAACTAAAATGATAAAGGAAGTAAAATCGGACCTATCAAATAACTAATAAAAATAATAAATCAACCTCATAAAATAATTTCAAAATAAATAAAAACTGAATTTCACCTAATCATATTCTTTGAATTGAATTTAATCTAAAAATTAATTAATTAAAAAAATTAATTTAACCATTAAATTAGATTCAATTCAAAGGTTATGATTTATAATAACTTTAAAAAACATATTTTTGGAGTAAGTCGATCATATATATATATATATATATATATATATATATATATATATATATATATATATATATATATATATATATATATATATATATATATATATATATATATATATATATATATATATATATATATATATATATATATATATATATATATATATATAATTTTTATTTTTAAAAATGTAAAAATATTTTATATTTAAACAAATATATGATGTGTAAATTAGAAAAGTAAATTGCAATTAATTGATAAAACCAATTGAAAAAACCTTCTCGCTTTACGAAACCAAAAACTAATTGAAAAATGAAAATGATATTAAAGAATATTTTTATATTTCTTTCTTTAAGTTCATTGATTTTTTGATAGAATAACTCTTAACTATCTTTAGTAAATATAATATAACAAAATAATTGTAAATTATTTAAAATTAACTTGTGAAAATTATCAAAACTTTAAATATTCTAAAGTTAAAATTTATAATTTATTTGAATCATTAAAATATATTTATTTTTTAAAATGAAATTTTCATTCATTTTTTCATATGATTTTTCATATTTATAAAAATATGTGCAACAAAATATACATGCAAGAACAGCGTTTTAAAACTCGAACTATTTATCGACCCGACAAGCTATTGGATCAACAGATTGCTGGTCGGATTAGTAATTTATTAGACCGCAATGACTTCTAATTCAATTTATACATATTAAAATATATATTTATAAAATAAATTTTTTGACTAACTTTCGTAATGTTAAAATCTTTTTAAAAAATTATGAATTTGTTCAAATAAATAAGTTGAATAATAATCTAAAATAGAATTCCAACAAAAATTTCATAAAAATAACAAATTGTTGCTTATAAATTAACAAAATTTGAAAAGTAATTATACAATATAATAATACCATAAAATAATATAAAACATATACAACTATTATATTTAGTATAAATGATTAAAAATAAAAAAGTAAAAAATATATAAATATATAAATAAAATATTTAGTAAATATAATTTGACTTTTATTTTAAAAATTAATGAGACTTATACTAAAAATAATGTGAAATACTTAATTTCAATCTTCCTTTGATAAACATAATTCTTTTAAAATAATGAGATTCATACTAAAAAATAAATGCAAAAATATAATTTCATTTTTCTTTTGTTACATGAATTGTTTTCAAAAATTTTGTTAATTTAGAGTATTATTATATTGTATAATTAATTTTTTTAATTTTTTTCATTTATTATATTATTATATTGTATAATTAATAATAAATACATTTAATAAAAATGTATTAGAGAAAAATGCTGCAATTATAAAATATATAAATTTTGTTAACAAACTTAAACATAAAAAAATTCATAGTACAAATGGTAAAACTATAAACCTAGTAGTATCAAAGCACTCTGAAGATTGTTGTGAGATATTTGATCGAACTCTAGTATGATCGAAGGGTAGTTTCTTGGTTTGACAATTCGACAGGATCTTAGCATGTCGTCAAAGTATGTTCACATGTTGTATTCGAAGTATGTTAGGAGTGTTAGCATGTCGAATTGGGCTTGTTTATTATGCTCAATTGTTTAAGTTATCTTGTTTTCTAAAGTAGCTTGTGTAATGAGTCTATGTGTAAAACCCCATTAGGCTAGTGTGTTTGTTTTCTTTTAAATAACATGTTAGTCTCTCATCTTTTATATAAGAAAAATTTTAATTAGGGTGAAAGAGGTTATTTGTTATTCTGTAACACTTGTAATCTTATTTCGAATAGAAAGTAAAGAATATCTATTTATAGCCAATTTCATTGTGTTCTTTTTGCTTAACACTTTTCTACCCTTGTGGGTTTTTCGCTGATTAAGAAATCGATCATACTTTGTTATTTCGGTATTGTTTTTCACAATAAATTGGTGCGACGAGCGTGGAGAAGATGTTGTCAACAAAGTATGAGATTGAAAAGTTCATTGTCATGCACAATTTTGATTTGTGGTGCTTGAAGATGAAAACTCTACTGATTTATCAGGGTTGTTTAGAAGAGTTGAAGGGGGCCGCATCCATGGATGTTGCATTAACAGACAAAGAAAAAATGACTATGATAGAGAAATCCCACAGCGCCGTCTTATTAAGCCTTGGTGATAAGGTTCTTCGACAGGTTTCTAAGGAGACGATGATGTCGGGGTTATGGATGAAACTCGAAAGTTTGTACATGACCAAATCCTTGGTTAATCGCCTATACCTAAAGCAAGATTTGTATTCATTCAAGATGAGTAAAGACGAAGTTTTGGCTGAGCAGTTGAATATGTTCAACAAGCTAATTCTTGATCTTGAAAATATCGATATCAAGACCGAGGATGAAGATCAAGCGTTGTTGTTGTTGTGTGTTTTGCCTATATCACATGCTCACTTCAAAGAAACTCTCTTGTATGGAAGAGAGTCTCTAAACTTTGAAGAAGTTCAATCAGCATTGTATTCTAAGAATTCGAATGAACAAAAGGAGCACAAGTCATCCTCGGTTGGTGAAGGCGAAATTCACAAAGGGAGATGGAAAGTTCGTCAAGAAGAAGGGTAAAAGTCAATAAAATTCTTTTAGTGGTGATGCATCTTCTATTTGATGTTATCATTGTAAAAACGAGGGTCATATAAGAAAAGTGTGACCTGAATGCCTGAAAGATCATGGGGGTAAGGAAAATGGCAATGCAACCATTGTTCAAGATGACTTTGGCTCATCTGATGTTCTTGTGGTTTCAAGCGGCGACTCAAGTAAATAGTGGATTATGGATTCAGGTTGCACTTGGCACGTGACTCAAAATAAAGACTTGTCATAGGAACTATATGATCAAGATGGTGGATTTGTATTTCTTAGAAATAATAAAGTTTGCAAGATTGTAGGTGTTGAATTTGTGAGATTCAAACTCCATGATGAATCAATAAGGTTGTTGCCTTATCAACCACTGAAGTGGAATATATCGCCCTCACTGAAGTTGTGAAGGAAGCATTGTGGCTTGAAGGTTTTGCTAAGGAGATGAAACTTCATGTTCGAGTTATCATTGTTAAATGTGATAATTAAAGTGTTATACACATGTCAAAGAATTCAACCTATCATGAAGGAACCAAGCACATCAATGTGAGGCTGCATTTCATAAGATGGGTAATCGAGAGTGAAGAAGTCCAAGTGCTGAAGGTTTTGACATATCACAACATTTTGTCAAGAAAGTGAAATTTGAATTTGAGATGAGTCTTTTAGGTGAAATAACCTATTTTGTGGGTCTTCAAGTTAGACAAATGAATGATACTACATTCATCTCTCAGAGCAAGTATGCAAAGAATATAGTAAAGAAGTTTGGCTTAGAAAATGTCAGTCACAAAAGGACCCCTGCTGCAACACATTTGAAGTTAACTAAGGATGAAAAAGGTGTTGATGTGGATCAAAGTTTATACAGGATTATGATTGGTAGCCTATTGTACCTTACACCTAGAAGACCAGACATCACCTTTGTTGTAGGAGTTTGTGCAAGATATCAGGCTGAGCCTAAAATGAGCCACATTACTCAAGTGAAGAGGATCTTGAAATACATCAATGGTACTAGTGATTATGGCATGTTGTACTCTCATAATACTAATTCAATGCTTGTAGGATATTTTGATGCAGATTGGGTAGGTAGTGTTGTTTATAAAAAAAAAAGCACTTATGGAGGATGCTTCTTCTTGGGGAACAATTTAATCTCTTGGTTTAGCAAGAAGCAAAATTGGGTGTCCTTGTCTACTGCTGAGGTTGAATATATTGCACCAGGAAGCAGTTGCGCACAACTAATGTGGATGAAA